GTAAGGCAGATCATCATTTTGCTACTCATAATTCAAATAGCCTTTTCTATCTGTGCAAAACATATTCTAGAAAAGTGATCAAATTGCTGCTTTTTCTTTTTTGTCTGCCTAAGAAGTTCCAGGCAGAAGGGATCCTGCTCTAGCCTTCTCTTTCCAGAATACCCTGTAGCGGAATACCCAACGACGACCGAATTGGGCAGAGCATCTAAATGCTATTCTCCCCGTCTGCAGGTCGGTGACAAACTGACAGCAGAGACGGGTCTCCTTCTCCTAGGTCGAGGAAACGGAAGCAGAAATCCCTCCATATGCAGGGTATGGTTTTGCTTCTCAGCCCAGCAGCAGTTCAGGATGGAATTGCACTGCTCGAACAGTTTGCAATTATCTGGTCGCTGGCAAATTTATCTGTATCTCTGCCTGTACTAGCATATTATCTGCAGTATTTTGAATCTGTCACAATACAGTAGAGATTTTTGGTGTCATTTTCTGGTTACAAGAGATTTACAGCAATGAACAATTGCCCAGTAATTGGACAAGCAGAGTCACTGTTGCTGTCTTCCTCCTCTGACGCAAGTGAAAGGCACTTTAAAACCTCTGCACCGCCCATCGGAGTGAAGCACAGGATGTTTTGGCATACAGTAGGAAAGACTCCATTAGACTAGCTTTTGCAGTAAAATGGAAGTGACTATTTATAAAGCCATTACAGAAACATTTATTGCTGTTAGGCACCATGGTATCAGCTGTTCTGAATTATTTGTATGCTTTAAAAACATACTGGAGTGTTCATCTGCTGCATAAAAGACCATTTACCAGCAAGATTTCTGTGCATCAGTGGCTTACTGATGTGCATGTAGTCTTCCCCGATCCAACAGCTACTAGGTTCCTCAAGGGCTTCAGTGATGTCTCTCCTCCAGTATTTTGTCTCCCTTCGAGCATCTAATATCTGTTATTTATACTGCATTTCTACAAAAAATTTTAGTCTCCGGCTCACCAAAGAGGAATAGCCAGTGCCTCAGGGCCCATCCAATTTATACAGTGTCATATCAGAACATGGCTAAGCTAAACTTTTGCCTAAATGCTGGACTTAGTGGGAACAGCTCATTGATCTCCCAGTTTTTCTTCCCAGACCTTACACTAATCAACACCCCTTTACTGCCGTTGGGGCAAGATCCCTCAGAAATTCTCCGGTGTTGTTTTTAGCCTTGTCAATGTAGTGAAGCTCAACCTGTTGTCCATCCAAAGACAGTAACGCACTTAAATCCACCTTTACGCTTTCAGACTTCATTCTACCCGTGCCCTAGCAGCTTCTGAGGCTTCTCAGGAAAGGAAATTCCTTTTCTATGGCCTTCAATCCATTCTACCAAGACAGAGGAGCTTGCAAATTTGGCCTCAAAGGACACTGCTATTCAAAAGAGAATTTTTATTAGTTTTCATTTCTAATCTCGTTCATGGGGCACTATGTGTACCAGAAGTGGAATTCCTGTGAACAACACATTTCAAAAGACCACAGTAACCCTATTTGCATAATATAAAAAGAAGCCTTTGCTTGAACTTGCTAAGACAAGATAAGTTTCATGGAAACTGCAAATGCTCAGTAATACTGGTGATTTTTTTTTCCTGTGGGGTTTGGGGGAGGGGAGATAAATACATACTTAATTTAAAACTATCTATTAAACAACTATGTCTGTACATACTCACTGGTTTACAAACTCGGGAAAAAGCTCAACCCTTATATTTGTAACACTAAAGATAATACTCATTTAAAATTGCAGATGATTAATCATATCAGTGCTCACAAAGGAGTTATATCCATAGGGAAACAGCCTGCAGCCTATTTAGCATAAACTCCTGTATTGTGGTAGTTGATTTTTTTTTTTAACATAGCATAATTTTAATCAGTAAGTCAAGTTAAACAAAATATTAACTACTGCTTTTAGGATGATAGATTATTTTTTTTTAAAGGTGAAACTGTGACACTGTAATGGATTAAAGAGAACAGAAGGTTAACCTACACTGGCTTTCAAAAAATGGAAGTGCACCATATCTTTTGTTATGTTATTTTTCTCTTATTCCTTTGGACGGTTGTGTTTTTTCCTTTGGCGATGTTTGTCAGCGTGCCATTTATTTTTCTTATTCTTGGAGTACCAAAGATCCTGAAATGGCTTGATGATTACAACCATGTGAAAATTTATTTTCTTGAAGTATGTTCTGTTAACTTTTGTTAAGATGTGGAATTGTGTATGCAGATTGTTATCAGAGGTTTGCTGGGAAGTTAACCTATTCCAGCAGGGAGAACTTGAGTGCATCGATGGAAGTGGTGAGCCTGAATCCAAATTCTGGATCTGAATACCCTGAAACTGGGGAGGAAGCTTGGATTGGGAAACGCAGCTGAGCTTTTGCACTTTGTTCCATCTCCAGCCAGCGTGAGTGAGTGGCCTTAGGTACAGGACATCAGCAGAGGTTGTTTCATGTGCAAAAGGAGTTAAAAAAATTGCCAGCATTCAGAAATCAAATATTGTTGATACTGCATTTGCACTGTTAAATTTGCCTTGCTGGAGAGTTATATAAGTGTTATTTTTATAGGTCAATTGTTAAACACCTGAGCCGTTGGATACAGTATGGAATAATAGCATCTGACGTGGGTGAATTCACCTAAGTGCAAAGGGGCTTGCTGAAAGCTCTCCACACTATGAAGACAAATGGGCATAAGCAGTACAAGGGGTGTTGTGTCGGCTCCTTCTAAAGAGGTGACTTTCCTCCTCTGCAACAGCAAGTAAGGAATACTGCAGTTTAGCCCGGTTATACTCTAATGCTTAGGAAGTGCTCTCACTTTTTCAATAATATGAGCAATTACAAGCGTTGTAACATACTGTACCTTGTCCTTTTAATGTTGATATATTACAGCAGCTCGTTCTTGGAGTCGAAATGGCAACTGCTATATTTTTCCTAGACTGTTTCATTAGTTGTGGTTGGGAAAGTTACATAGAAGCATTATAAAAATTTATATGAGGCTTTTTACAGCATTTGAAAATAAAAGTAGCATTCTTTTTGTAAAGTTGCTGGTTTTATTTTTTCATGCCACTGTACTGGATTTGTTTCTCTTCCGGAATGGGAGGCATCTAAGGAATTGAGACACTATTTTGTGTATTCTTATCTTCAATTCCATGGACAGTGAAAACCCATGTCGCTACTCTCCGTCAGAAAGTAGCGATCGCAAAAGTTGTTCAACTTGTACCAACTGCAGTCACATGAAGCTCCTTCTAAAATGGTTATTGCTCTTCACAAGAGACTTTTCTTCTTCCCTGTAGACCATAATTTATTCAAGAAAGGCTTCCATGGGCAGTTGAGTCCTCTGACTCACTATAGAAATAATTTTGCCCTACTGTTCCCTGTTCCTCTTTGCGTTTAGAGCAGTGGCAGCAGATGCAGTTGTGAAATAGTCACGTAAAAAAATTATTACAGAGTTGAGCAGCTGAAAGCAAAGAGGAGCCAGCAGCTGGTGACTGGCCTTCTCTGGAGCTCTCCAGTGACTAACAGCCTTCCACTTGAAAATTGCTGCTCTCAGTAAATGATACAATTTTAACAGAATTTTACAAATTCTATTTAATGGGATTACACTTTTCTTCCAGTAACCAGATATTATCTCACAGAACTACATATCATAAGGAAATGCAGGCTTAGTTCTTTATCTCTTTGCATTACCAAACTCGGTATTCCTCAAAAATACAGCACTTTAATGGCAAATATAAAGGCTATGCCTTCAGCATGTGCGGAAATGTGGTTTGTTTTTTTAAATCAACCACTTTTAAATATTATATGTTCAGTGTTTATAAAACATACTGCAAATATCTGTTGTGCATTTTTCATGTTTTTATTCTTGTACAAAGTGTGCCTTGTACCTAAGCAAAACAATGCTTTGGACAATAAAATGTCTTTTCTGACAATCTTCCTATGGAAAGAGAAGGGAGGAGTATTCAAAAGAGTTTGTCTCTTGCTGTTGCGAGTGATGACAATAGCAGTTCCCAGCTCTGGACTAGAGAAGGATGTATTTGCAGTTCAGGCACTGCTTAATGTACTTCCTTAAGGTAATTTTATTGATCATGCATGTAAATTTTAAATATCAGAGAGGTTCTGAAATGCCTATCCCATAGCTGAATTTCAAAGATGAAAGCAGGTTTTAAAAGTGGGTGCCGGTAGACTGTAACCTGTCA